GCCATTAAATAGCAGACTTACATTGTATATACAACATATAGAAGAATAGCACAGAGGGTACAAAGAGAATTAGAAAAACTAAACAAAAATAGTAGCAAAACAAAAGAAAACTAAACATAGAAATAGGGTTCAAAACAAAGATCAAACTAAAAACTTCAGTGGGACAGAAAATAAAATATCACAAAAAAGAAGAGTGTACAAGAGGAACAGAATTGCACGTCAAAATTATAAACTATAACGACTTCCCCCATACCAGCTAAACCAGTGAGTTAAATTAAACTCTATTTCAAAGCATCAAATGAAAAATGAAATGAGCATGTGAACAATAAAAATTATCAAAAATAAAATGTTCAGTAACAATAATGCCAGAGAATTCTGCTTAAAAGAAGCAAGTGGAAAGAACTAATAAAATATTTAAACACCCAAACAAAGAAAAAAAATTAAAAGTTAAAAATAGAGTTAAAATAATACTTTAAAAAAAATCTCTTTGGTTTTGTTCCAAGACCCCATCAAATAAACCTCTAACAACTTAGTTTCCTTTTCTTATTCTATGTAGTTAGCTGACATTACTTCACTCTTAACTGTCCTGAGCAAATGAAATTCATTCAGACCATTAATGTGTTGTGTTAACTTTGGTTTTATATTAATGTTAGGCTTTAGAGACTAGGTGAACAGAAATTTAAAATATAAACTTAAAGAAAAGAGATGAGTTTGGGGATTAATATACACTCTCCTCCCCAGGAGATAAAAGGGAGAGGAGGAATCCCACCATTTGGGTAGTTTCATATTTCACCCCTGCTTATAGCAGCAGCAGCAGCAATATCATCCCTAGCCCTAGGAGCAGCTCCCATCTCTCTTGCTCAATCTGTGGGAAAAAACAAAGATGAAAACAAAAACTAACTACAATAGTCTTGGGTTGCCCCAGTGGAGGGGGTGGAGTTGGAAAAGGGGGGTGCAATGGCAGCCCTCTTGCCTTCACATACTGTTATAGCTGAATCAGGCTACCCCCTGAAAAACTTCTTTCCTCTCTAGGGATTCTGGCTCCTTATTCTCTCTAGGATGGATGGAGGGAAAAAACTGTCTTTTCAGTTACAGTCACAGCCCCATGGCTCCCAGGGTTCATACAGATAGGTACTGGGGACTTCACATCTACCACTATCAACTGATTTCCAATGCTTCCTTATAGACATAGGTATATACATATTAGCTACAAGTTAATTGGGTTGGTGGGAGGGATACTGAACAGTTTTACGTTGTAATGCGCTGTTACAATGATAACCTCATTTAAAGCCCAGGAAGCAATATAATGGCCCTTCAGGTCTACTACATCTTTAGAGGAAAATCTATGAATTCAGTTATTATCCTTCTATTGATGTTTAGGGGAATCCCAAAATTCAAGGGCAGAAGACACAGGTCTTGCCTCGAATAAATTTGACTCAAGCCTTCTTTCAGTCAGAAACAAGATTTATTAGAACACTGACTGAGATGGGCAAGATTTTAAGAATCTGTGCTATTGGCCAGATTTTAAGAATCTGAGCCTTTGAAATGACAACACAAGTGGGCCAGACTCTAAAGGAATCTGAGTAATTCAGTAGATGAGACTGACCTTTTTAATAGCTTGGAGTGACTGGGAAGTAACAGAAGAGGACCAGGAAGGGCTGGGTGCCCCAGGCAAACTACAGGGACCTGGGCCATAAGGAAGGGATCTAGATGGAATCAAGGAGTGGTGGTCTGGGGTGGGGCCAGGTGCAGATCATGAGGCCTGGGATAGTTTAGAGGTTAACAGAGAATTGGAGATTGGGGCAGGGTCAAAGCCACAATGCAAGCACAGTTGAAAGAATTATACTGAGATGAGCCTCAGATGAATGCCAGGGACCTGGGCCACATGGGAAAGTCCAGGGCCTTTTGGGGGTCCATCATTAGTGCCCCATCACTTCTGAGGCCCCAGTTAGGAAAATTCCCAACATTTAGGCAGAGGTTGGGAGCTCTGGGTTATATTTATATCTATCTCTAGTTAACTCCTGACCTCTTTGTGGTTGAGGCAAAATGCAGCATACTGGAAACTTTTGGGTAATGAAACAGATTGTTACATGGATAGAAAAGCGTTGGGGAGGGATGTTGTGGAAAGAAGAGATTTTTTCTTGTGACCTCCCACAGCCTGAATATTCTGCTCTCCTCCTACCTTTGCTCATGAGAAGCCACATGATCCACTTTCTAGAATTTTTCTCTGTTCTCAACTCATTTGATAATTTATAGACAATCCCTGAGGCATCACCATTTCTCCCAGCCTATTGGAAGAGAGTTTCTTTTTGGCATTATTACACTTCATTCAATGGCTTTCAATAATTTTTCACATTTAGTTGAAGTGATTTGAATGATTGATATGTATTCTCACCTAGTTAAGGCATCAGAGCTAAAATGGGGTAAGGTAATTTCAACCCCACTCTTACAATGTAAAAGGTGAAGCTTGAGTTAAGCCTTGAAGGAAATTAGGGATTTTAAGACTTGGGGGTGATGAGGGAGTTCATTCCCAGTATGGGAGATAGCTCCACAGTGATGGAGTGCTGGACCAGTAAGGAACAATAAGAAGGGCAATTTAGCTTGCTTACAGTGTGCATGACGGGCAGCAATGGAAAGGTACATAGGGGCATGTTGTGGAAGACTTTCTACATGGCAAATGAAGAAGTCTAGTCTGTGGATCCATGTTGTTATCAATGGGAGCACTCCTCCCATCATGCAGATTGCAGCCTTTCCATGTTCTTTCATCCTGTGCTGATCTTGTCCATATTTTCCCATAAATCTTTCATGGGGATCTAATGTGCCCTCCTCTTGCCCTTTTTAATATACTATGGGTACCTTGGAAGCATTCGGACTGTCCAACTGTTAGAGTAGCCCACCTCCTTGTCTGTTCATTCATTTTCTTCATGGTGTCTTATTCCCATCATATGTCTCTCCATTGCCCTCTGCATGACCCACAACTTTTACTTTTTGGAGGTTGTGATGTTTCACGATTTTTAGCTGAATTTATACAGCACTTAAAGGTTTTTTTTGGGGGGGGGGGGATGCTTTAATTATATTTGTTTGATCTTCACAAATAGCCAGTGCAGGATTGTAGCCAGTTTAGAGGTTTAGAGAAAGAACTGAGGAGTGGAGAGATTAGAGGGATGGAGGTCATAGTGAGGATGAAGAACAGGGTTATGAGCTGAGGGCAGAGGGAAGTTAGAATGACAGACTGTAATCAGATAAGTGAATTTCAGAACTCATGAACACAGAAACTGAACACCTGATAGCAGGATCAAGGGTATGACCATTTCTGTGTGTATGTGAAGTGGGATGATTAGGTCATTGGAAATGAATAAATTGAGGAATTTCAAGGTTAGGGTGCTTTAAGGGAATATCAAATTGTTTGAAATTCATTAGTATGAGGCAGAAGCTGAGGAAGAAAAGGCTTGGCGCCTGCAAAGAAGAGGAATGTCATGGAGGTCAGAAGACAGCAGCCACCAGAATCTTGATTGGGTCATAATAGATTGAATAAACCTCAAAAGAGAGGTTACTGAGTGGCAGTGGTAGAAGGAGAGTCTGGAAGTGTGGAAAAGGAGAGTGAATATTTCAATTCTCCTGAAAAGGGTAGCCTCAGTCCATGAGGACATTGCTTCTTTCACTGATGCCTATAAAATGAAGGGAATAACGGCACCTCCTGTCACAGGATTATTGTGAGAACCAAATGAGATAACAAATTGTGGTGTAGAAATGCTAGCTATTATTATTGCTATTATTAATATAGTTTGCATTCTTTATCCACATGCTTTTTTTCCTGTGTGGCTTCCCTAGCCTATCTTTTTTGAGTGCCCATGGCCTTTACTGAGGGCCTGCAGCGTTTGCTCTGAGACCTACAGAGTAGTAAAATAGAATGCACCAAAAAAACCCAAAACAAAACAAAAAACAAACCAAACCTCCCAAACTGAGCATTAGAGTGGACAGGGATCATTCCTGTGTGGGGAAACCTCCTTTTGTGTGACTTATACAGTCTTAGTTGCCTGGAGGGCTGAGAGTTTGGGCAACTTGCCCTGGCTCCCATGCAAATATGTCAGGAGTGGGACTTGTGCCCTGGTCTTCCGGGTTTTAAGGCCAGCTCTCGATCCAGTACACGAGGCTGCCTGTCCTGGAGTCACGGTGGGTGGATGATCTTGCCAACAAACATCATTCAGTCAACTTTTATTAAGGCTCACGTGGCGCCAAGGGGAAGTTATAATCTACCACCTCCCTTTTGGGAAAATCCAAACGGAACTCACTGCTGCAGCCCGGAACCTAGTTAATAGCCGGCGCGGCCAAGACCATTAAAAGACCGCGAACCTTTGATCTTCTCTGCTCTCTCACCTCCCATCAGCTCTAACTGCAGAAAAATGATCCATTCCGGCCACCCCACCCCCACTCCGTTCCAGGGCAACACCCTCCCAGGTTTGATGGACGTGAGCATTCCGCCAATGGTGTGGGCGCATCCTCCAGCCAAGGATCCAATCGGTAGCTAGGGGGCGGGGTGAGCAGAGCTAGAGGTAGGTGGGAAGGCGCTTGAGAACTAGCTGCAAGGCCGTTGAGGTAAGATGGCGGCGCCAACCTGTTCGGTCCTCTGGTAGCCTGGCGGCTCCTTTGTCTTTCCACTTCGGCTCCACCGGGGGTCGGGGCTTGAGCCTAAGTGGCGGCGGCCTTTGACGGGGCTTTAAAATTTCTTTTCCTCCCATACTTGCCCCATCTCCCTTCGAAAAGGATTCTCTGGACGCCCTGATCCCTGGGCCAAAATGGCGCTCGCTGGAGTCTCCCAGGCCCGCTGGGCTCCGGGTTGGGGGAGGGTCGGACTTAGCTATTGGGGCGGGACAAAGCCACAGGGAGGGAGCCCGAGGGCGCGGTGCAGAGGAAGGCCTCGCGAGGCTGGGAGAGGGGGAAGCGGGGGCGGGGAGGTCCTTGAGAGCTTCCTTGGTTTTTTCCTATGAAAAGGACCTGGGGAGAGTGAGGGCAGGGGAGCCGAGCCGACGCGCATGCGTGGCCCTGGAGGCCCCTGGAGAAAGGGAAGCCGCGGGAGAAACCGAGCTCTCGGTTAGTTCATGTGAGACTCCGGGGGCAGGAGGAACCATTCCTAGGGCCCTTAGTAGGCCGACTTAGGGTAGGTGAGACTTTTTAAAATTTTTTTTCTTTTTCTTTTTTTTTTTTGTTCAAAAGAAACGGTTCTTCTTGGGGCGTCTGAATGTGGGGACTTGGCTGGGTTTGGCGGCGAATGGGGGAAGGGCTGTGGAGGAGCCTTGGGCACCCCGACCTCTCAGTGTGTAGTCTCTCCCCCTCCCCCGCAGGTGTTGGTATGAACAGAATTCGGATCCACGTCCTGCCATCGAATCGGGGGCGCGTCAACCCAGTGCCCAGGTCTCAGGAGCCCCTGTCTTGTTCCTTCACACACCGTCCATGCACCCAGCCCCGTCTCGAAGGGCAAGAGTTTTGCATTAAGCATATCCTTGAAGACAGGAATGCACCTTTCAAGCAATGTAGCTACATATCCACCAAGAATGGAAAGAGATGCCCAAACGCTGGCCCTAAGCCTGAGAAGAAAGATGGGTATGTGGGTTTTGGTCTTTTTTTTTGTTTGATTGGGTTTCCCTTTGGGTTAGGACGGTGCTTTGACGAGGGAACGGTGTGGTGGTATTTTCATTGTGGTGCATTGGAATATAGAGACTGGGAGCTGAAGGTGGTGCATGCTGGCTATTATTAACTACAGTGAATTTGTTTTTTTCTAAAAGCGACAATTGAGCTGTTGAATATTTTATTAGGTAATGCACAATGTTTTGTAAAGGCAGAATGGGCTGAGTGTTTGCTATGTCTCAAACTTTAGCACCGTTAATAACGAACCGATATGACTAACATTCATCTTTGTATATGTCTTAACACTAATGTAACATTCATTTCTTAGCCTCATAAAAAATGGTGTGAGGAAATGTTTTGAACTCTCCCCCCCTCTCCCCCACAAGGTGTTATGTAAATATTAGTGAGCCAGGAACAGCATATAGTGAAGAACTTGTAGTTAGTATAGTGTGCTGAATTTACCTTATTTTTCTGTCCAGGTTTTGTAGTCCACTTGTTACGTTTTTACTCAGTGTCTGTCATACTAAGAAGTAGCATATAAGGGTAGCAAACTGGTTAAAAGAAACAATGCCCGTAATCTTGAGACAATTTTAGTTTTTTTTCTTAAAGATTGAACCAAATAATCCTCAGGTTGGTACTGAGACAGTGTGTCTTTTTTATGAATGAGATAAGTGATTGCAGTAAAATTAAGTGTTATGCTCAAAATGTTTATATATACACATATATATATATAGAGAGAGAGAGAGATGGATAGTACCTTATTTGTATATGTTGCTAATGCTAATTATCTTTATCAAGATTATGTCTTTTTTCAGATAATTTTCTTCATCTATATCAAGACAAATATGTCTTTTTTCTAAGTCTTAATTGATTTGCATAGATTCAGCAACACAGTTCATCCAGTTTCCCTTTTGATTAGTTATTTGCATTGGCCATTGCATAGGTCTTCACTATCATTCTGGCTAAGTGATCTTTATGAAAATTGACCTTTTGATTTTGTTTTCGTTATTGCCATATATTTTTTGTTATTGTCCAGACTTGCACTTATATTAATCCTTGAAAATTACTTTACCAGCCACTCTCACCCATAGCATAATTTTATTGAGATAATACTGCTTTTCTAATTTCAAAGGCTTTACTTTGCTCCCCTCCCTTTCTCAGAAATGCTACTTTTTAATTCCTAATTAGCATGGGGGTGGGGTGTTGTCTGAGATTGTAATTAATAAGGGCAAGAAGCAAGTATTTTACAGGTATGATCAAAGCAGGAAATCATTAAGGTGATTTTTTTTTTTAATCACGGAATGGAGAAGAAGGGGGGGTGGAGAAAGTGGAAAAGTATTTGTGGCATAAAAATTACAAGAATGCATTAATGTAAACTAATGTAATGTTCTGTGTAAACACCAAGTTAGATGAAACAACACTGTGGGGCAGTTAGTTACATGGAAATGATGTTATAAATGGGACACTGGATGACTCAAAAAGTTTCAAAAATTTTAGTGGGGTTTATTTGTGACAAATCAACTAAAGTCACTTTGCAATGATGTTTTCAGGGCAATGTTGAACATAAGTCAATCAAGAAACATTATTAAGTGTTTTCTATGTGCCAAGGCCTGTGCTGAATATTGTGGATGGAAAGAAAGGCAAAATTAGTCTCTGCCCTTCAGAAGTGTACATTTTAGTGGAAAAGACAACATCTAAATGACTAGGCACTTAGGAGATGTTTACTGTACAAAGTAGATGGAAAGTTATCCCAAAGGGAAGGTACCCGTAGCTGAAGCATCTGAGAAAGGCCACCTAAAGAAAGTGGGACTTGAACTATGTCTTAAAGGAAGCCAAGGAAACTAAGAGGCTAAGGTGAGGGGACAGAGTATTCCCAGCATGGGGAACAGTGAGTGCAAAGGCACAGAGGTAGGAGATGGAGCATTACCATGGAAAAACAGTAAGTACATCAGACTATTGAAAGAAACCTGGAAAGATAGGAAGGAGTCTGGTTATGAATAGATGCTTTATATGCCAACAGAGAAGTTTATATCTGATTCCAGAGGTAAATAGGGATCCACCAGAGCCCATGGTGCAGGCAAGGGCGAAATGATATGGTCAGACCAGACTTAGTGCTTTAAAAGAAATCACCTGGGCAGCTTAATGAAGAATGGATTGGAATGGGAAGGGTCTTGAGATAGGGAGATTGCAAAAGGAACCTATTGTAGTAGTCCAGACAAAAGGTGATTGAAGGCCCCAGCTGGGGTCTCACATATCTGAGTGGATAGGAAGTGTAAGGGAATCCTGCAGGACTGAGGACCTTTATGGTATTTTTGTCTGTTTCATGGATCACTGGCCGTGGTCTGTTGTTTTGTAACTTGAAAGGCATGTTGGCCTATGAAAGGCATATTTTGGAAAAATCAGACCCATTTTGGTACCACAATGAAACATTATTATTAAGAGTTGTTATTATTAATATATATTCTTGGTTCTCATCTCGTTCTTTCATAGTGTAATTTAACATCATTTCCTCTCATCTTTTTAGTAAACTCAATTCTCCCCCTGTAATTAGTTAACAGTTAATTAGAATTTGAGTATCTACTGTGTGAAGAATGACACACAGTTTGGGCAGGATATGAAGGGATTAGAAGTGCTATTTTCTGCTCTCTAAGAGTTTATAATCGTATTGTGGCAAATCAAAAGTACATAATTTGAGAGTAATTACCAAGTAACATGTCAGCAAGTACAAAATGACAAGACAAATGCAGAAATACAAGTGGAGTAGAGCCAATCTAGGAAGGCTTCTTACAAGATTACGTTTTGAGTGGGCTTTTCTCATTCATTTAATGGATATAAGCCATTGTACTAACTGCTACAGGGGATGCAAAGATGAATTACACAGTTCTTGTCCCCAAAGAGCTAATAGTTTAGTTCAGAAGAGATTGTGCACATGCACACACGCAAGCACATGCTAGGGGCCTCTTTTCTCAGTCCTCATCCTTCATAGCTTTGCAGCACTGATACTGCAGAAGGACACTGCGACGCTGACATTACTCTCTAGGTCTCCATAGCATTGCCCTTGCTCTTGGATTTCCTCCTGCCTTCTCTAGCTGGTATCTCTGCCTTACTCCTAAACTGTGAGCGTGACCCAAGGCTCTGTCCTGCTTCCTCATTTCTTCTTTCTATACACTTTCAGTGATCTCATCAGCTCCTTAGGGATCAGTTATTTCTCTGCAGATGATTCTCATATCTGTTTCTCTCTTCTGAGGTTAGTAACTGGACATTTCTAAATGGCTGAGAGGCATATCAGATTCACGTCCAAAACAACTCATTTTCCTAAAACCTAGCTCTCTTCTTAACTTCTCTATTTCTGTCAAGGGCACTGCTATTCTTCTGCTTACCCAAGTTTGCCATCTCCTCTCATTACCATGCCTGAAACATTATCAGACCCTTGTTAAGTACTGTTGATTAATTGACTGGCTAGCAACTCTTCACTGCCCTTCAACATTCCCCCAGTCCTCAGTTGCCAAGTCTTGTTGATTCTACCATTACAACATTTCTTGCATCCATTCCCTTCTCCACTTAGATGGCCACTAACCTCATGCTAGGTGGAAAAGTGGACAGAGTGCCAGGCCTGGAGTCAGACACTTGCTATGTGATTCTGGGCAATTGTTTACCTTAGCCTTATCAGTAAAATGAGTTGGAGAAGGAAATGGCAAATCACTCCAGCGTCTTTGCCGAGAAAACTCTTTAAGATCTAGACATGACTGACTGAAAAACCCCAGGGGTAGGGATGAGGGCAGGGTTTCACAGTGTCCAGCTGGTTAGGCCATACTTAAAAACAAGAAAAAAGCTATTATTAATTATTCATTTCTAAAACTTGTCACTGCCAACCCACACAACCAGCTTTGTCCCATGTTCTCTACCCTCATTTGCTTTTTCTTGGTTAATAAGTAATATTCTTTTAGTTATATACTCTTAAAAATTATTTTTTCCTTCTGTCTTCATTTTGTCTATTCCTCTGAAGGCCTAATTGCATCACTCAGTGATGATAGAATATCATCATTATTTTTCTTAGCCTATGGTGATTACATTAGGATGGTGATTGAAATACTGTTCCAAGCTCAGCTTTCTATCCATTGAGCTATCTAGCTGTCTCCTTATTTTAATAGTACCTTAAAGAAGAAACAGGAGGGACCTCAGTATGCTTCCATTTAAGTATATACAAATAGGTATAAATTTGCAAATGAACACCAGGTATTTGGGGAGGGCCCTGTAGCAAATGGAGTGGGGATCAGATAAGGCTTCTTGTAGGAAGTAATGTTTGCACTGTGTCTTGAAGGAATTGGGAGAAAAGGGGAATGTGTTCCAAGAAAGGAGGATGGTCAGTGCAGAGGCACAAAGATGAGAGAAATGCTGTGTGTGAGCAACAGAGAAAGAACTAGTTTGACCGAATTGGAGAGTGAGTAAGGTACAATGAGTCTGGAAAGATAGATTGTGGCTAGATTTTGAAAGGCTTAAAAAACTAAATGGACAAGTTTGATTTCATCCTAGCGGGCTAGGGAGCCAGTGGAGTTTATTTAGTATAGGAGAGACATAGTTAGATGCGTGCTTAGGGAAAAGCACTTTGGCAGCAGGGGGAGGATAGACTAGAGTGGGGAAAAGGTAGAGGCAGAGAAATGTTAGGAAGGTTTTGCAATAGTCCAGGTGAGAGATAATGAGGGTTTGAAATAAAGTGGTTGTTGCTTGAGTAGGGAAAGGGATCAGATTTGAGAGCTGTTGTGGAGGTAAAAATGGCAAGATTGGACAACCAATTGGATATGTAAGGAAAAGTAAAGTTACGGATATCACTGAGGTTATGAACCTGAAAGATTGGAAGAATGGTGGTGCTGTAATGGGGATGTTTTGGAGGAGGGGTTGGTTTAGAGTTTCAGACAGGTAGGAGGAGAACCAGGAGAGAAGAGTATTATGGCCAAAATCCAGAGTAGAGAGAGTATTCAGGGGATACAGAATCTCCACTGTTGTTAGCAGTATCAAATGTTGCAGAGAAACATGAAGAAGAATGAAATTTGAGAAAAGACAGATTTGACATTTTTAGATTTTTTCTCCTTGACCTGTTTTCCAGGTCAATTTTTAATAGGAAATACCTTACATTTCCTGATATTTTTCCAGTCTTTGGATTTTCAAGGAATCTATTACTTGAGTAAGTAATAGTAATACTTGTAAGTATTACTTCTGTATTGTTATTTATTATAAATATTATTATTATTTATATTATATAATTATATTATTACTAATTACTAATAATTATTACTAATTACTAATAATTACTAAAAAGATGAGAGGAAATGATGTTAAATTACACTATGAAAGAATGAGATGAGAATCAAGAATAGATATTAATAATAACAACTCTTAATAATAATGTTTCATTGTGGTACCAAAATGGGTCTGATTTTTCCAAATTATTATTATTATATATAATTATTATTAGTATTAGTATTATTATTATCCTGAAATAAAACCTCTGAAGTAAAGAATTGGAAAGAGAAATAAATAGCTTAAATTAGAAAATGCTAAACCTTACCCAATTAATGAATTTCCTGAAAATCAGAATAGACTAAATAGAAATAATATAATAATAATATTATTATATTATATATAAATATTAATATTATAAATATTATTATAAATAAGTAATACTTCTGTATTGTTATTTATTCTCCTTTCCCTTTCTTTCCTTCATTTCATTATATGTTGTTTTATGAAACTCTTGCTTCATTCTTCTAGGAATTCCTGTAGAATGTATGGCAAAGCTGATTTTCTTTGAGGCTTTGCTTGTAGATGATAATGGAGTTAGTCTTTTCTTCTGGACTCATGCTCTTGAACAAATTTGGCTCTGTGGTATTTATCATTTGTCTAGGATTTTTCCTAATTATGGCCTTCCCAGTTCCATCTCTGTAGGTTCCTGAGTGGGGGTGTCAGAGTCATAGCTGCAGGCCGCCTTGGTTAGATCCTGGTTTGTTAGGGGCAGAAAGAGCAGAGGGTATACTCCAGTGCTCAGATTAGGAGGGTCCTAGTGCATGGGGGCTCTGAGGTTCCTAACACTCTGTTTTGGACCTCCAGCATGAGACTTTAAGATCTAATATCAAAGATCAGCACAAATATAAAAGGTTAGCACAGGAACCCAGGTGATACAGGTTAAGGGCCAACCCCCCCCCCCCCCCCAAAAAAAGAGTAATTCAGTAATTGCATACAGAGATTCAAAGGAAAAATGGATTCTCCACAAGGACTACATGTATACCTGGAAGAAGTGAAGCAGGAGAGGGAAAAAAAAATCCTGAAATAAAACCTCTGAAGTAAAGAATTGGAAAGAAAAATAAATAGCTTAAATTAGAAAATGCTAAACCTTACCCAATTAATGGATTTCCTGAAAATCAGAATAGACTAAATAGAAATCAGTGACTTTTATGAGTAAGATATATTAGAATCAAATCAGAAGACTAGAAAGAAATATCTTTTTCTATCAGAAACAGCTAACTTGGAAAAATAGGTTAAGTAGAGAATTATTGGACTCTTACAAAAATAAACAAACAGTAAAAGCTTAGACACTGTTTCAAGCAATAATAAGTGAAAATCATCTAAATCTAATAAAACCAGAGGGCACAGCGAAGATAGAAATAACACATTGTTCACCTCCTGAAAGAAACCCCAAAAGTAAAAGTCCCAGGAATGTCATAGCCAAAATGAAGAGAACTTCCCTGTCAAAGAAAATATAAGCAGCAAGAAGCAGTTCCGATACCAAGGAACTATAATAGTTAGGACCCTGCAGCACTTGGCAGCTTCTCCCATAAACAAAAGATCTTGGAATTCTATATTCCAAAAGACAAAAGGAACAGACTTATAACCAAGAATAACTACAGAGCCGAGTATAATCCTATGGGGGGGATTTAAAATTTAATAGAAGATTGTTATGAGTTGCTGATAAAAAGATTGGATCTCTGTGTGTGTGCATGTGCTCCTCCATTATGTGTATGTATATGTGCACGCATTCACGCGTACCTTTAGTGGTTTCATAATAAGAGTTCTGGAAGAGGTCAGGAATAGTTAGACCTGTTTAGTAAGGGAGAAATTGGTGAACGTCTTAGTTTTTTGGCAAATTTTCTTCTGAAATACATCTGTAGAGCTAAAATGGATATAGCCTACAGAGAATAGCGTTACATGTAGAAGGCCATTTATAATAATAATCAGAATTTAAAACTTTATATTAAAATAGTAACTAAGTAGTTTAGTGTTTTTTCAAGAACTATAATATTTTTTACTTTAATAATATTTTCTTTTTTCAATTACATATGAAAACAATTTTTAGCATTTGCTTTTTAAGAATGTTTAGTTCCAGATTCTCTCTCTCCTTCCTTCCTCCCTCGCCCCAAGGTAAGCAATTTAATATAGGTTATATATGCACAATTATGCAAAACATATTTACATATTAATCCTGTTGAGAAAGAAGACAAAAAAAACCCCCAGAAAAAAAGAAAGTGAAAAATAGTATGCTACAATCTGTATTCAGATTCCATCAGTTCTTTCTCTGGATGCGGATAGTATTTTTCATCATGAATCCTTTGGAAATGTCTTGGATTGTTGTATTGTTGAGAATAGCTAAGTCTATTCACAGCTGATTATCGTACAACATTGCTGTTACTGTGTACAATGTTTTTCTGGTTCTGTTCACTTCATTTTGCATCAGTTTGTATAAGTTTTTCAGAAATCATCCTGCTTGTTATTTCTTACAGCACAATACCACAACTTGTTCAGCCATTCTCCAATTGATGGACATCCCCTCAATTTCCAATTTTTGGCCATCACAAAAAGAGCTGCTATAAGTATTTTTGTACAAATAGGCCCTTTCCTTTTTTTTTTTAAAATCTCTTTGGGGGGTACAGACTTAGTAATGGCATTGCTTGATCAAAGGGTATGGACAGTTTTATAGCCCTTTGGGTATAGTTCCAAATTGCTCTACAGAACCATTGGATCGATTCTTAACTTCACCATCAATGCATTAGTGTCCCAATTTTCCCACATCCCACATTTATCCATTTCCTTTTCTCTCATATTAGCCAGTCTGATAGGTATGAGGTGGTGTCTCAGAATTGTTTTAATTTGCATTTCTGTAATCAGTAGTGATTTAGAACATTTTTTATATGACTGTAGATAGCTTTGATTTCTCCATCTGAAAACTTCTAGTCATATCCTTTGTCTACTTATTAATTGGGGAATGACATGTATAAATTTGATTCAGTTCTCTGTATATTTGAGAAATGAGACACTTACTTTCCTTCTAATTTTGTTACATTGGTTTTGTTTGTGCAAAGCCTTTTTAATTTAATATAATCAGAATTATCTATTTTATATCTCATAATGCTCTCTATTTTTTGGTCATAAATTCTTCATTTCTTCATAGATTTGATAGGTAAACTATTCCTTGCTCTCCTAATTTGTTTATGGTTTCACCCTTTATGTTTAAATCGTGTACCCATTTTGACTTTATCTTGGTATGTGGTGTGAGATGTTGGTCTCTACCTAGTTTCTGCCATACTTTTTCCTAGTTTTCCCAGCAGTTTTTTGTCAAATAGTGAGTTGTTGAAGGACAGTAATTTTCAAGGACTTATTCTAAAAGTTTTGGAAGCTACAGAGATAACTCTTTCTCCTTTTTTGTTTTATCTCTCCAGTGTGTCCTTCTGTGCAGAACATGCCCGTAGGAATGCCCTTGCACTTCATGCTCAGATGAAGAAAAACAACGCTGGACCCATGGGTGAAACACTTTTGTGCCAACTGAGTTCATATGCTAAGACAGAACTCGGTGCCCAGACCCCAGAAAGTAGTCGTAGTGAAGCCAGCCGAATCCTGGGTAAGGGTTTCCTTCTAAAGTCAAAGTGGAGTGGGTTGACTGAGTAAAAAAACAGAGCTCATACTACTGGTTTAGTACCTTGAACATAGGCTAGCAAATATTTGTTAATAATTCAAAGGTTGATTTATTAGTTACCAACTTTGATTTTGAAGAGTTATCATTGAATGTGATTAAACTGATTTTCTTTCATGTCAGTTTCATTAAACTGATAAAGGAGCAACTTTTTAATGCTTCCCTAGTTTTGTTAAAAAAAAAAAAGTTGGTCAGTTCAGGAGACAACATTACTTAAGAAGTTGGTTTTCCTGTCTTAAAGTGTGACTAACCCATTTATACGATTCAATGTTGAATAATCTTCCCCTGACTTTAACCTAGATGTATCTTTGGTGATTTTATTCACTCAGTTCCAAAATACCTACAGTATCAAAATTCTAAATAAGATCTTTATATTTTGTGAAGGTTGGGTTGTTGTTTAAATCATTTAGGCCTTTTGGTTTTACTGTTGTAACGGAATTATGGGGGGGGGAATTTTAATAACTACATTCCCTTTCTTGTCTCAGATGAAGACAGCTGGAGTGATGGGGATCAGGAGCCTATTACTGTGGATCAGACCTGGAGAGGTGATCCTGACAGTGAAGCTGATAGCATCGACAGTGATCAAGAAGACCCTTTAAAGTAAGTTGCAACTCTATAGTTTCTGAATGTTTTCTTTAGTCAGTGACAGTTTTCTAAACTATAAGGCAGGCCCTACCCTGGGGCCAGTGGTGTAAAGGGTTACTTTTGAGAACAACTTGGTGCCTGAAGAACAAACATTTCTCTGTGGTACCTTCCACTCAGATGCTTAACTATTGGCTATTGACACATTTTAAAAAATGTACGGAAGAGAACAGAAGAAAGGCCAGAAGGAAAAACAGAAAAGTAGAACAGCTTTGAAAGTTATATGTTGAATTTATTATGTGCTTTGGGGCATCTAGGTAGCAGAGTAGATAAGATAGGACTGAGAGGCAAAATGATCCTGCCTCAGAAACTTAATAGTTGTGTGACCCTGGGTACTTGGCTTGAGCCTTCCTTATCTGTAAAATGGGAATAATAATAGGATCTACTTCATAGGGTTGTTGTGAGGAACAAACAAGTTAGCATATGTAAAGCACCTTAAAGTGTTGTTTATTATTAGCTATGTTATACTTAAAAAGAAAACTAGCAATATGACAATAGAGAATTTAGGATCTGCTTTCTCTTCTTTGTATATGGAGGTGCTTATCAAAGTTTAAATTCAGAATTTATAAAATTTTCCAAAAGAAAAAGTGGGTCATTATATGTAATGTTCCATATTCATAATTCCTCAATTTCTCAAGGAAGGGGAGGGGATAGCAGTGTAATCGTCTTTGCCTTCTCATATGTCATCTTTGAGGGCATGCTTATTTATTATAATTTCACAGGATTCATTTTTGATGCTATCCTTTCTATTTACATTGTCATTACATATACACACACAAATATATATATGTATATATATATATCACTATCCTGGCTGCTTTTTAAAAACTTTTATTTTACCTTTTTTCAACTAACAACTATTAAATTTCTCTTCCCAGTCACCAAAATGGTAAAAAAAAAAAAAAAATCCCTTGTCACAAATATGTGTGATAGTCAAGCAAAACAAATCCTTCATGGACTATGTCCAAAAAGGTTTGTCTCATTCTTCATCTTGACTCCATCACCTCTGTCAGGAGGTGCATAGCATGTGGTTAGATGCTGTTAATTGTGTTGTGCTTACTTTGGCTTAGTTCATGTAAGTCTTCCCATGGTTCTCTATGTTCATCATGTATCACATCATATTTATCTTTTCTTTGATTGCATTCATGTAGCACAATTTGTTTTAACCATTCCCCAATCAAAATTCATCTACTTCGTTTCCACTTCTCTGCTACTGCAAAAAGTGCTACTGCACCACTTAGCTGTCCCATAATTAACCGTTCATTTTCATTATATTTTCACTCCAAAATTCTTCACCCCCCGATAAATGCAGAAACAATGTCAAAGGCTTATAAAGATCTTGAGGGTGTTAGTAGATATTTCATGGCGTGAAAAATTTTGGAGTGAAAATATAATGAAAATGAACGGGTAATTATGGGACAGCTAAGTGGTGCAGTGGATAGAGTGCCAGGCCTTAAGTCGGACTTATCTTCATGATTTCAAATCTGACCTCAGACACTAGCTGTGTGATCATGGGAAGTCACATGTTTGCCTCAGTTTCCTCATCTGTAAAATGAGCTGGAGAAGGAAATAGCAAACCACTCTAGTATCTTTGCCAAGAAAACCCCAAATGGGGTCACAAAGAGTTGGATATGACTGACACAACAACAACAACAACAAATGGTGTTAAAAGCTGTTTTATGAGGTTGTAATGTGTAGCATACACTTGCAAAGTGGGTTTTTTAGGAGGAGGTGTGTTTTAAAATTTTTTTTCAAAAGCTGGAAAAGATTATTATCCATTCATGGTAATCAGGACATATGTAAAGTACTTGACAATACAGTAGATTCCCAAAAGGTACCAAAAATTAATGGTTCTATCTCCAGAAATGTATCACAAAAACAATGTAAAATTAAAAAATGAAAAAAGGAGGTATTTTCATTTGTATAACTTGAAAATTGCAGAGGTTGTGCCTGAGCCACAGAAGCTGAGCTAGACTTTAAGCAGGCCCATAAAATCATTGCTATTTAATCTATTAAGTTATACATCATACACTGAGACAAATTTGCAGATATTCGACACGAAAGATAGTTTTCAAGGGGGAGTTTTAAATAAGATGCACATTGAATAAGTCTTATAAAGTTTGCAAAGTTAACTTTAATGTCCACCTAGAGCATTTCCTGATAAAGTATTTGTATTCCTTCTGTATACTGCTTCATACCACATAGAACTTGTCTCAGTGTGGTTTATTATTATTCTGATGACCACAGCCACATCTTAAAATCTTTCCATAATTTGTACTGCTTTGACTATAGTTGCTACCTAGTCAGTCCATAGCCATAAAACCATAAGAGGAGTATTTGAATTTGCTGTAAGCCCTTGCCCTGGCGATATCCCTTTGCCATTATCCTTGATTCAAGTAATTTTGAATCATAATTTTGATTCCAGTTTTGACTTGGAGCTCCCCTTCTACTGCCTCTGCTACCATCACTACTGCTGCCTCTGCCATTTCTCTGCTTCAGCCTCCTTGACTGTCCCCAGAGCTGTACTGCTGTCACTGGTGTACTTATTTTAATTGGACAGCCTTACATTCATTTTCACCAACGTTACAGAATTTCCTTTCTGTAATCTTCTTAACTGTATCTTCTTTAAAAGTGATGAATACAAACTGTCTTGTTTTGTTTTTCTTTGGATCCCTTGGAAGTTTGATGGATTTAGTATCTCCAGAGTCTCTGATATACTTCCTGGATTTTGTCTTCTGTAAGCTTCTGGATTCAGTTTTCCAACAAAGATCCTCTTTACAGAATCTTATTTTTTTCACGGTCACAAACTTTTTGGGTTCAATTACTTGTTCATCTAAGCTATATTCTTTCTGATCCAAACACTGTCACCATTGCGTATTCTTTAAAGAGGATAAACCCCAAATCGCTAGATGTTTGTGTGTTAGAGTCCATTTTTATTGTGCAAACACTTCACCAGATTTGGTGAAATAGTTTTTCAAGTCTTTTTTACTTGTTTCTCAACTCCACTTAATGACATTTTTCCTGCATCCTTCTCGTTCTTGCTGATGTTGATGTGATCTCCTTTGGGTCTCTGACTCCTGTCTGGGGCTCTCACCCTGAAATTTTTCTTGTCCTTGGCTCCTCATTAAGGGTAATTTCACTGCCATTCTCAGTAGTGACTGTTAACTGTTCCTCCATTGCTTTAGACATGGTGGCCTGACAGTGGTGATGGGGAGAAGTCTCGGGATGTTTTGCTTGTGTTCTAACTGAGTCACCTACAAACATTGGACAGGTGTGGTGCAGAGCTCCTGTTTCTCCTGCTCTTTTCTACCTGGCTTCTCTTTGGCTGCTTCCTTTTTCTTTTCTTTTTTTAAATTAGAGAAGACTACTTCATAAAGATGTCTGAGCTTATCTTGAGAAGTTGAGACTTTTCTACCATGCTCTAGAATGTGCAATGACCAAAAATTAATTAAAAACCAAATATATAATGAGTCCAAGGTGTTTCTGGCAGCGCTTGCCCATGTTGCATCATGCAGATTCACTGCAGACTTGGTTCTGAACACACTGCATGCACACTTTACATTGTGCATGCCTTCAGGCCATGCAACACCAAGGAATGCTGCAGAGAGTTGAAAAGGGGTCCCTCTTCATCCCAGAACCCCTTTAGCCCTGGAATTCACACCTTGGTGGAAGTACCTTTTCCACCCATGTGGGCCCTTCCTTCTCATTGGATAGTTCCTTTCAGAGAGTGCCCTGGCCAGCTATCTTTTTGTCTCTCACTGGACTTCTCCATCATGTTCCACCCTCTTCTTTTCAGGGCAGGGACTGTCGTTCTTTCTGCTTATATTTGTGTTCCCAGTACTTGGCACAGTGCCTGGCCTATAGCTTAGTCTATGTTTAATAAATGCTGTTGGCTGGTAGACTGACTGATTAAAATAACATAACAATTCAGATATAGAGGTATAACATTCTTCTAGTCTTGCCTCTCCATCTGTCCCCCCCCCCCCCCCCCCCCAAAAAAAAGATGATTGGGTCTTGCCGTTTTGCCATTCTGCCCATTCTGTGCTTGGTTACTGTTTTGTTCCAGACATGCTGGCGTCTACACAGCTGAAGAGGTGGCCCTGATCATGCGTGAGAAACTGATTCGTTTACAGTCTTTATACATTGACCAATTCAAACGACTTCAGCATCTATTGAAAGAGAAGAAACGTCATTATTTACATAACCGCAAGGCAGAACATGAAGCCTTAGGCAAGTAGCGTGCCAACCCCAACAAGTTGACCCTCTTTTCCTGAAATGTACCACAACTGTGATCATTCTCATTGCGTTTTGGGGCACATGTGCCGGGGAGAATAACATTTTTTTAAATACTCTAGTTCCTCTTTGCCAGAAGTTTTCTCTGTTTACTTCTGCTAGTTTAGGGTCATGTCTTCAAAGGTATACTAGGGTGGCACTGTCAAGGGGGATATGTCTTTTGACTATTGTATCTTTCCAGGTAGTAGCCTTTTGACAGGTCCAGAGGGACTTTTAACAAAAGAGCGGGAAAGCTTGAAGCAACTGAAATGTCTTCGGCGCTACCGCCAACGCTATGGTGTGGAGGCGCTGCTACACCGACAATTAAAAGAGCGCAGAATGCTGGCCACAGATGGGGCTGCCCAACAGGTACTTACTGCTTGTTTAGGAGTTATATTTATATGTGGTTACCGTGGTCAGCCTTGCCTTGTTCTTTAATTTTGGCTATCATATTTACTAATACTATGCTCTTTGAAACTCTATTTTTGGTAAAAGAGAATCTGTTGCACCGTGATAATCTTTGTTCCCAAATACGAGAATTTAGTAACTAAACTTTGCTATAAAGAGAAATTAGTTTGGAACTTGGTTGTGATGTAGTATTGATGGGCTCTGTCAGGCCATAAGAGGTAGGAAGATAAGGAAAAATTCTATTTTTTAACCGGATATCACTTAATAACATTATCACCCACTCTTTTTTTCTTGTTAATGAATGAATGGAAAAGCATTTATTAAGTGCTTACTAAGCAAATAGAAAAATGACAGTCCCTGTTCTCAAGGAGCTCACATTTTATATTACTTTATTTTTTAAAATAATTTATTTTTAGTTTTCAACATTCACTTCCCTAAGAGTTTGAGTTTTAAATTTTCTTCCCCTCCATCTCCTCCCACCTCCCCAAGACAGCGTGCAACCTGATATAGGCTCTACTTACACGTTCATATTAAGTATATTTTCCCATTAGTCATGATGTAAGGAAGAATGAGAACTAATAGGAGGAACCACAAGAATGAAACAATAAAACAAAACAACTGAAGAAAAGGAGAGCAAATAGTATGCTTCCATCTCCATTCAGACTCCATGGTTCTGTCTCTGGCTGTGGATAGCATTTTCCACCATGAGTCCTTTGGAGATGTCTTAGATCCTTGCATTGCTGAGAAGGGCTAAGTCTATCAATGTTAGTCATCGCACAATGTGGCTGTTACTGTGTACAAGATTCTCCTGGTTCTGTTGATTTCACTCAGCATCAGTTCATTTAAGTATTTCCAGGTTTTTCTGAAGTCTACCTGCTCATCATTTCTTATAGCATAATAGTATTCCATTACATTCATATACCACAACTTGTTCAGCCATTTCCCAGTTGATGGGCATTCCCTCAATGTCCAATTCTTGGCCACAACAAAAAGAGCTGCTATAAATATTTTTGTACATGTGGGTCCTTTTCCCATTTTTGTGATCTCTTTGGGATTTAGCCCTAGAAGTGCTATTGCTGGGTCAAAGGAAACGCACAATTTTATAGCCCTTTGGGCAGGAGCTCACATTTTAATTGGGGGAGACAATGCATAGAATTTCTTCTGTGCAAGAGGGTATCAAACTCATGTAACTGAACTTTTTCATTTTTGCCCCCATTTTTTTTTTTTCACATGTGGATTGTTTCCATCCAGGCTACTGTGGGCTGAGAAATGATATAGTAAAACAGATGGATTCCTTTAAACCCTTTCAATCTAAACCAGGTTTCAGTTTTGGTATATTAAGGTATTTGAGTAGCCTTCTGGTATGAATCGTTTGAACTGAGTATCTGCGCTTCCTTGCCGTGTTTAAATAATTTATGTGGAACTTGTAGCAGTAATGTGTTTTTGCTTTAGGAAGGTGGTACAGGTATTGAATTTCCATTTTATAATTACAGAAATGTATTAAAGGAAAATGACAGGCTACATCCCACTAGTGCTTTACAGAACTGGTTGAATCAGTATCATAAACTCTTAGAGAGTTGGAAATCATAAGAATAGCCCTATTTCAGGACCTTAAGACTCTTGTTTCATTTCTATAGCACCTTGTTTTAGCATTCATCTTCTCACTCTCATGTGCCTGCAGTTTTTCTTTCTTTCTGAATCCTTCCCATTGGTCTACAAACAGGCAAGTATACCCAGTCCTAAAAAACATTCCCTTAATCTTCTTACTTCAGCTGTTTCTTTTCTCTTTACTGCTAAACTTCTTGGGAAAAAAAGCAACATGTAACAGTGGATAGAGTACTAGACATGAAGTTGAGAGCAGATTTGAAACCTGCTTCAGATGTTTGCTGGTTGTATGACCAAATAACTTTTACAACCTCAGGTTTCTTATCTGCAAAATGGAGATAATACTTTAAAATATCTGCTTCACAGGATTGTTGAGATGAAAGCACTTTGTAAACTTAAAGAATTATGTAAATGTGAGGTGGTTTTAGTAATAAAACTTTTTTTTTTAACCTCGTCACTATCTTGTCAATTCCTTGAACTCTAATTTCTGCCCCTATCACTGTATTGAAACTGCCATTTCAAAGGTCATTAAGCACATAGTATGGTTCAGTGGAAATAGCTCTGCATTTGGAATTATTAGGTATGAGTTTGGATTCTGACTCTGCACCTTACCATAAGCAAGTCAGTTTCCTCATTTGTAAAATGATTAGATGACCTCTTAAGTTCTTTTATAGTTCTGTGACCATGTGATCACCAAACTCTGTGGTCTTTAGTAGCACCTTATGGTTCTGTTTCTCCTTTTACCATTCTAATCACTTCTTTGTCTTCATTGTTTCCTTAATGTCAGTGTTTTTCAAGAGTCTGTTCTTAGCCCTTTGTCTTTATTGTCTCTCTGAAGGTCTCATTCATTTCTGAATGAGAAACTACTTCCTCTTTGTTTTCAGAGATTCCCAAATCTGTATTTCTAGTTCTGACTTTTCTTCTGAGCTCTAGATTTGTATTTCTAACTATTTTCTGTTCATTTCTGCCTAGAGCTTCCAGCAGCACCTCAAACTCAGTATATCTAGAATTTAACTTCTTTTCCCTTAAATTTAATCTGCTCTATTCCTTATTTCTGCTTGTGGCACAACTATTTGCTATTCCCCCAAGTCTGTAATATTGGGGCTATTTATTGCTCATCCCCATCCTCCCTTTCACACCCTGCCGATTCTGCTTCTATAAACTTTTACATCATTTGTTCCCAGGTGCAGTTGATAGACTGCCAGGTTTGGAGTCAGGAGAACTCCTCTCCGAGTTCAAATCTGGCCTCAGACTCTTAATAGCTGGGTGACCCTGGGCAAATCACTTAACTTCGTTGGCCTTAGTTTTCCTCATCTGTAAAATGAGCTGGAGAAGAAAATGGCAAACCCCTTTCTTTGTCAGGAAAACCCCAAATGGTGTCACGCATTACAGGACATGACTGAAGCGACTGAACAACAACAAATCTTCTGTTCCCACTGCTACCACCCCTAGAACAGGCCCTCTTTGTGCCCTATTTAAACTACGGTGTGTAATAACATCGTAACAGTTATGCCTCCATGGTCTTACCCTTTCAATCCATCCTTCATAGGCTTCTCCAGATAATCTTTTTATTTTTTTTCATGTATAGATCTAATTGTGTCATTCCTGCTCAAAAATCAGGTGGCCCTTTCTTTATCTACTTAGTAGAAGTCAAACTCCTTTGTCTAGGTGCTCACAATTGAGCGCTCTCTAATTTTTCCAGTCTTTTCTCATATTTTCTCTATGCACTCTGGATTCCAGCCAAATTGGGCTGTTCTGGCTTCTTAGACTCTTCCCTGCCTCCTCCCACCTTTTAGACCTTTGCTCACGTTTCCTAGGCTTGGACTTCCACTTTTTGGACTGTTGAATTTTTGTCCATACTTTCAAAACTTAATCTGGTTATTACTTTCTTTATGAAATCTTTCCTTGGCCTCCCTTTGTCCATGTGATACTTTTTATTTAGGCCCACTAAGCAAATAAATGATAAGATTACTTCTGGAAAGTACATGCCAGTTAACTGCATATCTATTTACCATGTTATTATGTCTCCTTAGACTAAAACTTCGTTCCCTTGCCCACTGGTCTCCAATGTGTGTTGTATTCCTTAGTCAGAAGATAAGTTTTTTGTGTCTCATTCACCTTCAGGACTGTACGTTTCACGGGTTTGGGGATCTTGTTTTTATGAAATTTGTTTTGGTGTTCTAGGAATAGTGAGTTCTTAGTGTTTATTGAGTAAGTACCTTTATTGACCTTGGATTTACAATGAAATAGCAGAATTGTTAAGGACAGGCAGTTTTTTGTTGAGTCTGATAGGCAGCAGCCAAAAACTTGCATGTGAAGTTTTTTCACAGATCTAAGATAAGTAGTATTTAAATCATTTTAAGGCTTAAAAGGTAGCACCTTAATTACATTTGAAAATGATTGGGCATGTAGTAGAATTTGAGATACTGCTTTCTATACCAACTGAAGCTTCTAATTGATCTTTTAAAGGAAACTGTAAGGATAGAATATTGACTTCAGAAGCACAGGTATGAGTCTCTTAATGCCAGCTTAAGTGGTATAAAAATGTGTTTCCTGTTTTGGCCATCTAGATTCATGTGTTTGGGGGATAAATTTGAATCTCTTCGATTGCAGTTTTAAAATCTAGAAAAAATGTAAAACTACTATTGGGTGAAATTGACCAAGAGTAAGTGTTACTTCTTATAGGCATGTATGTATATGCTATATTATTCTTCTCAAATTTAAAAGATGAATGATTAAAGAAGTGTAAATGAATAGCTTATGAGTCATATCACATGCAACATTTTCTGGTTTTGAGAGATGATAATCTTCAAAGTATTGCTTTTTACCCTTGGTGCTGAAATTTTACTTCATGGACAAGCAATGAGGTGGAAAGCCTACTGGACTGAAAGCCTGGAGACCTATTTTTTTTTTCTGGCATTTTAAATTTAGGTTTGTTTTATTTTAAGTTTAGTGTTAATTCCATGCTATGTTTCAGTAAGAACAATACAGATTCTGTATCTGTGGCTCTACTCAGATATCCAGTAGTACAAATTAGCTTCAAGTTACACATACTGAATGGAAGAGATTGAGTGAGCAAAGTACCCCATAGTAGTTTAGGATAAGAATACATTGGATTTTGTGTGATGGGTAAGAATATGTTGGGTTTTGTGTGATCTTTGTTTGGTTCTAAGTTTCCTTAATCTTAACTGAATTTGGACAAGATCTTGAAGGTCCCTTTCAGCTCTAACAGGTTATGATTTTATGATTGGATTTCAGGGAGAGGCCAGACATCTTAAACAATCTATTTTTAAAGGTGACTTGGAAAGAATGTAGATTAAGAACTATAGAAGATTGGAACAACTTTGGACTTCAGTAACTTCACTACCTCTCTAAATAGTCATCTGTCTTCTTTGGCTCCTTAATGTGGGTATTCTCCTAGAGGTTGTCCTTAACTCTTTTCTTCTCTGTCTACATTATCTCCTTGGCAATGTCATTCATTCCTGTGGCTTCAACTACTGCTGCTTTGCTCCCAGAGAGATTCCCAAGTCTCTATTTTTAGTTTCTGATTTGTTGGTTGAGGTAAAATTTGCATTCTTTTCCTCAAAAGAAGATATTTCTATCAGAAGTGTACATAAATAGAATAACACAATTCTTAACCATATTCAGAATTTTTAAGTGTCTGGGAAGAACATTTCATTCAGTTCATAACTGAGAATTTCCATTTCATGTAATTTTATTTTATCTTTTATTATGACATTGTATTATTTTCTTGAATGACCCATTCTTTCTTCTTTGTTTCAGGCGCATACTACTCGTTCCAGTCAGAGGTGTTTGGCTTTTGTTGATGATATTCGTTGTTCCAACCAATCTCTTCCGATGACCAGGCATTGTCTGAATCGTATGTTTTCACCTTGTCTATTTGGGTTATGATTTTTCCAGATGGAGTGAGCTGTAATGGTTACCAGTTCTCTTATTTTCAAGATTTCACTTTTCCATTGGCCCTGAATCAAGACCAACAGTTTGTTGGAACTGTTGGTTTCAAACAGGAGCCTAAAGAAATGTCATCCTACAGTCTTCTGGCCATTTCAGAACATTATAGAGAATGGTCAGTTCATTAGGAAGAAACACTTGAATTATTGGAAATGAAATGGTCTGTGTATTAATAAAATAGTTATTCCTTTTTTAATGGAATGCTGAACCTATTATTGAATGGATAAATTACAGCATAAAATCATTGTGAATAGATAAAAATCTTAGTTGACATTGAATTTCTGCATGGATAACTTAGAGAAGCCATTTGTCTTTATGCAGCAGTGTGGTATAGAACTGTCTTTTCTTGTTATGTATCTAATACTCATCTTTTTGAGGACTTCCTGCTCCAAAAATTAGGAAATAGATTTTTTTTTTCTTTTGGAGTTTGGCCTTTCACTCCCCCCAAAAATAGGAAAAAATGGGCCAGTGAAACTGTATTTCCCAGTGTGCTTCCGTTTTAACTCTTCACCAAAAATTCTTAGCTAAGTTTTAATTTTTTTCTTTGAGAATGCACCTCCAGTTTTATTATGGAAATACTTTGGGAAGGAAAGTTTTGCTTTAGTTTTCTTTTATGTGTAAGAGTCAAAGTCTGCTATCACAATTTATTTAAAAAATGAAATGGGATGTAGAGCTTAACTAGTAATTTTCTTTCTGTAGTCAGTACTCTGCTGCATTTTAAGCTACTATGGTCCTCTTTAACAAGAAGTTATGTACTTAATTTTAACCTGTGTTCTTAATTTCTTATCTCCTAGAAGTATGTGACTGTCTTTGATTATGAGTTCACTTTTTTCTGTTAACTCACCTGATGGGTAGAGCACTAGATTGAAAGTAAAAGAAGTTGAAAGTTGTTCAGTACTTAAATATACACAAGCAAGGGGGGAGTGGGAAGGGTAGGTATTCTCAGGATGTTGTAATAACAGGTAGTGATGGCTTTTTTCAGTGCCACAAAAGAAAACCTTTCATGGTTATGATTGTTGTTAATGAAATTGGTTGGTTTTGCTAAATACATTCCCTAGAAACTAATCATGTTGTCCTTTGTACTATGCTTGCAAGTCTGATTGATAAGTCTAAAGCTGTAGCTTGTATTTTAAACTCAACCTTTGTTGATTAGCTATATCTTCAAGGCTTTGCCTGAGGTGAGATGAGTTACTGAGGTGAGATTTATAAAGCACATAATCTAGGCAGTTGATTTGAATTGTTCTATAGTAAGAATTTTTTTTAAAACAAGTAGTGTAAATAATTAAATGTGATAGCATGCATATATCAGTTTGAGGAAGACTCTCTGGAGTAAGACTTAAAATCAGCTAAGAATAATGTAGCATCCTGTTGATCTAACTTAAATTTTGCTTTTATTAACCAGTTAGATCAATTTGCTTTCAATTTTTGTTCTCCCAGAGTTTTGTTGCCAGCTTGGAAGTGTACCATCTTTCACCTTTGCCTGTAGCTTTTAAACGCTGATTTTTAAAAAAACTACTAAGCTTTTATTTTCTCTCCTTTCCACTTTCCTATCTCCAAATTGAAAGGAAAAAAGAAAAGAAAAACAAAAGTCTTGTAACAAACAGGCAAAACAAATCCACATAGAGGTCATGTCCAAAAAAGTGTCTCTCAAGTCCATCCCCTTTCTGTTAAGAGAGATGATATTAACATGCTTCAGTAAAGGTCTTGGGTCATAGTTAGTCACTGCATTGATAGAAGTTCTTAAAAGTCTTTGAAAGTTGGTTTTATTTAAATTATTATTTTTGTATAAATTGTTCTTCTAGTTCTGCTCATTTTCCTTTGCATCAATTCATATTACCCAGTATTCTCTGAAGTTGTTTCTTATCACATGTATCACAATAAAATAAATTTTTCTCCTGGCTTTGCTCACTTCACTCTGGATCATTTCAAAGAAGTGTTATCAGGTTTCTCTGAAATCATCTTTTTATTCTTTCTTATAGTATAATAATACCATTACATTTATATACCATAATTTGTTCAACTTTTTCCCAATTGATGGGCATCTCTGTAGTGTCTAGTTCATTGCCTTTACAAAAAGAACTGCTGTTAGTATTTTTGAACATATAGATCTTTTTCCTCTTTCTTTAATCTATTTATTAATCTATTTATTTACTCATTAATAATTGAGACAGCTAGGTGGTCAGTGGATCCCATAACAGGAAAACCTGAGTTCAGATATGGCCTCAGACACTTAGTAGTTACGTGATCTTGGGCAAGTCACTTAATCTCTGCCTCAGATTCCTCATCTGTAAAATGGGAATTATGATAGCATATACCTCCCAAGGTGGTTGTGAGGGTCAAATGAGATATTTATAAGGTGCTTTGCAAACCTTTAAGGACTATATAATTGATAATTACAACTACTACTAGTCTAGTGGTATTGTTGAGTTAAACAGTCTGCAGAGTTTAGTTATTTTTTTTGTCTCTCTGCAATGCAACTTCATAGAATGTGTTGAGGAACTTGGTGCTCTCAAGGTGATTCTTTGTAGTCAGACCTTTCCAAGTGGAACTTTGCTGTTTGTTTCCTTTCCTTTACTATCAGGTGCTGAAGAATATGGAGCCAAATGGGGTATGTTCCCTTTGAATCTTAGGATAGAGATACCTGATTGAATATTTCTCAGGAGGGCTTTTAGTTTTCCCTTGGTAATCTACTCTTTTCTGACTAATGGGTCCATTTACCTTAAATAGTTTCTTTGTTATGCTGGGTCTTGGGAGAGTGAGCCGGGGAGTGAGGTAGGTAGAAGGAAGTCATGCATCTGGCCTCCTGTCCCTAAGTCCTCCAGACGGATCTCTAAAATGCACCAGACTGACTCCTAGTGGAGAAATCCAGAAAAAATCATAGTGAATTCTTTGGCCCAGGTTGGTGTGGGGAGACAGATAGGTCTGCAGATATGGGGGACAGATTTGGGGCTGGAGCACAAAGCACATGGAGGATTTTAGTGCCCAAGGATAGGTTGCACACCAGTACAGAAGGAGATCTTAGACCTATCCCAGGGCACTGCCATGGGTATAGGTGCCAACTGGCAGATTTATCACTCACTACTGGTCCTGGGTCACAGATCCAGGGCAGATTGAGGAGACCTGCATACCACTTAGGGAGGCCCTGGGTAGTGTACCAAGAAAGGAGGAAAGTTCAGAAAACAGCAACAGCAGTGGTGTGTCTCAGACCTCAGGTGCAAGAGCAGGGTAGCACTTCCCAGCATCTAGCCCAGTTTGTAGAGCAGTAAGCAAGGCAGGAAACCCAAACCAAAGGGGAGCCTACAGTTCTGCCACTTTGAAACAACAGAGCTTTTCAGCCAGTTCATAGGGGCAGACTCTTGCAAGAGTATATTCCTTGCTCAAAACCAAATCTAGGTCAGGAACTCAGGGCAGCAGTCAAATTTGGCTCTTGATCAGACCTTAGACCCTTTTGAGATCACTGAAAGTTTATAAGTCTGTCCCAGAATAACACAACACTCCAGGAAAGCAGCAAAAGGATTAGCCCAGATCTTCCCTCCAGAAGTGTGGCAGAGCCCACCCCTAACATCAAGTCCAAAGTCAAGAAGTAGGCTAGAAGAATAGACAAATAAAAGAACCCTACCATGATGAGCTATTATAGTGGCAGGGATACCCAGGACACAAACCCAAAAGATAATGACTGCAAACATTTCATTGCCATAGCTTAGGCTTAATTACAATTTTTGGAAGAGATGAAGCAAGAGTTAGAAAAAAGTAAATTTTTTTTCTTGTTGAGGCAATTGGGGTTAAGTAACTTGCCCAGACTCACACAGCCAGTAAGTGTTATGTCTTTAAGGCTGGATTTGAACTCAGGTCCTCCTGACTCCAGGACGTTTTAAAATGTTTTTTATCGGTGGAATGAGAGCCCTAGAGGAAAAAAATTAGAAATGAGAGCTGTGTGAGAAAGAATTGGAATGGGATTTAACAACGTGGCACAAGAGGTCCAAAACTTTGCCCAAGCAACAACTTCTCTGAAAATTAGAATGGACCAAATAGAAGCCAATGACTTTATGAAGCAAAACAAGGAATATTAAGGCAAAGTCAAAAGACTGGAAAAAAAATGGAAAAATGTAAAGTATTATAGGAAAAAAAGCTGACTTGGGTAACAGAACAAGGAGAAAAAATTTAAGAATCGGTGAACTGTCTGAAAACTCTGATCAAAACCATAGCCTCAATAGTCATAGTCTGAGAAATCTTAGAAGAAAATTGCCCCAAATCTTTTAGAACTAGAGGGCAAAATGGAAATAGAATGAATTCACCGGTCACCTCCTGAAAGAAACCTCAAAATAAAAACTCCCAGGAATGTGTTGGCCAAAATCCAGAGCTTCCAGGTCAGATAAAAAATACTGCAAGCAGTCAGAAAGAATTCAAGTACCTAGGAGTTGCAGTCAGGTTTGCACATGATTTAGCAGCCATTATAATAAAGGAGTAGAACTTGGAATGTAATATTTCAGAAGGCAAAGTATATGGGCATACATTCAAGAATAACTTATCCAGCAAAACGGTATAATACTAGTGGGGAGGGGGAGAGTAGAAATAGGCCTTTATTGAAATTTTGGACTTCTGGGGCAGCTAGGTGGTAGAGTAAGTAGAGCACTTGCCCTGGAGTCAGGAGGACCAGAGTTCAAATCCAGCTTCAAACACTTATTAGCTGTGTGATCCTGGGCAAATCACTTAACCCCGATTGCATCACCAAAAAACCAACAACAAAACTGAAATCTAGGACTTCTAAGCATTCCTGATTAAAAAGAGCAGAGCTGGGGAGAAACTTTGAATTTGAAACATAGGAGTGAAGAGAAGCGTAAAAAGGCAAACACATGAGCAATAAAAAAGGACTAAACAAGGCTGATTTGCTTACATTCAGATATGATGAGATGATACCTGTCCTCTTTAAACCCTATCATCATCAAGATTTATAGAAGTCCAATTAGACAGGGATTGTAAATAGTCCTGTTATATCCTAATGATCTTAGGAGCATACAAACTGGAGGGTATGGGTGAAGGAAAAAGAAGGTTAGGGGAAATGATCTCACATAATTGGGTTGCACAAGTAGGTATCTATGAATAAGGGGGTGTGGGGAGTGGCTGTCACTTGAACCTTTCATCTGAACTGGAAACACCTCCCACCCCCCACACACATACACACAGCTAGATTAAAAAGGTCCATGTCACTCAACAGGAGAAAAAGAAGGAAGGGGAGCAAGAGAGATTAGGGAGTTGTTTAAGGGGAGGTATTATTTCTGAGCAAAACAAACTGAAGATGTACAAAATTTCTTAGGACTTTTTGAGGTGACTGTGAATCTGAGGCAGTGCCTATAAACTTAGATAATAATAATAATGATGATAATAGATAATCAAGTTGTGATATATAAATATGATGAAATACTGTTGTGCTGTGCTTTTATCAGTATAATGACCAATCAGAATTCTAGAAGATTTACGAGGAAATATGTTCCCCTCCTCCTTATGAGTGATGAAGAACTCAGAATGCAGAACGAGAAAGTATTTTTTGCACTTGGCCAGTGTAGACATTTGTTTTGATTTACTATGCATTCTTATGATGGATTTTGTTTCCCTTATGTTCCCAATTTGGGAGGGGTGAGGAAAAATGATGGGGGTGGGAAGGTGATAAGGCTGATCTTGTCTAGTTAAGGAGAAATAGAATATTCTTTTAAAATGCAGCATCTTTAAAAATTATGTATTTTTTATTGATATCTTGTTTTTTTAATCGTCTCATTTTTTGAGAATTCCCCTCCCCTTCTAACTACCTAGCAAAGCTGTCCCTTATAACAAAGAATAAAGATGAAAAGAGTTTAGCAAAACCAACTAACATTAGCTCTGCATTATGATGTATGCATAGTCCACGTGGCACACTGCAAAAAGTGGAGTGAGGAGCATTTTCTCAAATTTTCCCTAGGGCCATGCTTGGTCATTATAATTTCACAGCATTCTTTTTTCTTTTTTTTTCTTTCTACTTATTTTGTTGGAGTCATTTTACAAACACACACGCACGCACACGTGTGTGCATGAGCATATGTACATATATATTTATGTATTTTTTTCCTTTATTGCAAACTTTGCTTCAGTTCATCTATATCTTTAAATTCTTCATATTCTTTATTTCTTATTGTGGAGTAATATTCCATTACATTCATGCATTACAGTTTGTTTATTCCCCACAGCATCCACTTTTTTCCAGTTCTTTGCCTAGCAAATTTTATATGCTTCTTCAACCTCAAAGAAGCTGATTCTTAAATGAGCTTTGCCTTATTCTTTCTGATGTTGGTTTAAATATAACATAATAGAATAAATTTTAAACACAGTTGTTAGTTTTCTTACAGTAGTAATGAGAGTAAGTAATAGTAATATCCTTAAAGTTTCCCAGTTTTAAATAGGTATGAATTATTGCTTCTGAATCTTGTCCTGTTCTTTTGGATTTGCATTTTTTCTTCTCATCCATAGTTCCTCCAGGAGGAGAGTTAGAAGAAAGGAGGCAAGTTGAGGTGAAGGAAGAAATCCCTTTACTAAGGGATTTCTGTTAAGGGAGCTATGCTAAGAGTTAGTTATACCATCAGTTGTTGCCTGTCTGTTGCATGGATGGCAGGCAGGTGTGATAGGGATCTTGCCCTTGGGGTATTTATTTTTTATGTTGCTTGGAATGACTGATAAGATGAAGAAGTTGTGCATTGACAGCTATTTTTTTGTGATTATAATCATAAAATCACAGAAGCATTAAAAAATTTTTTAAACCATTTTTGTGTCTTCTGGTTATTTCACTCTTAATGGTGTAGTGCTATGAAATGAGCACCAGCTCTGGAGTCAGGACTTGGGTTTAAGAGCAAAGGGAGTGAACCTGGGCAAGCTGTGTACCCATCCTCATTCTCAATTTCTATAAAATACGAATTAGGCTCAGTGGCTTCTGAGGTCCCATCTCTTTCCAGATCTGTAATCTCATAATCATTCTTTTAAAAAATATTCTCCACTTAGTATTACATTTAGGAACTTAGTTTTAAAAGACAAGTAGTATTCTTATTCCTTGTATATTAGTAGGTATGTGAAGTGGATATTTTTGCCTTCATTTAGCATCAGTGAGACTTCTATACTTTTTAACTGGTTATTTTTTGATGGAGGAAGACAAAGTGGTTATTAGTAGACGAAGATTTCAGAATCTGTGTAAAACTGATGTGTCTGAGGCCGGATTTGAACTCGGGTCCTCCTGACTCCAGGGCCGGTACTCTATGCACTGCGCCGCCTAGCTGCCCCTGGAAAATGACTTCTTAACTGATTGTGTTGGAAGGCAATAGTAGACAACCATTTGTTGGAATTACAAACTCTACCTTAATAGGTTTTATTGGGCTAGAACCTTTATTGGGATAGTAGGGAAGATACAATTAATCTGTTGCTATTCTAGATTTTGATTATAAATCTTAGGTTTTCCATTTTTAAAGCAGGTTAGAAATGTAAGGTGATGTGTTATTTAAAATTATGATCTGTGAAATAGGGCGAATTTTAATGTGATGCAGAAATTATCTAACTCTTCTGCCTGAACCAGAAGTGGAGAATATCGTTGATGGATTTTTGAACTGGAGCTGTAAGGGGGTAGTCCTATGGTGACTCTGTTCTTCATGTAGGCAAAAGAAGGGAAAAAAGGTACCTATAACCTGCTAGCACTCATAGCATAAGCAAAGTTCTCCTATTTATATTTATGCTCATGTTTGTCGATTAAGGACTAGATGAATGTGGAATGTGATTTTTTTTTTTAAATCTTTCTGCCTTAACTTTTTTTCTTGAAATGAAATAAGTGAAACTCACTTCAAACCTTAAAATACTATAAAGTTAGCTATTATTAGCTATTAATATATACCACATATAATCAACTATTATTATTACTATTACTAGTAATAAGAATAGTAATAAGAATTGCTTATTTTTAGATAAATTTAAAATGAAGATTTTTGAGTTTGGCAGGAGAGCACATACTGGTGGGAAAGAGCTTTGGGCAAAAACACTGTGTAGGGGCAGCTAGGTGGCTCAGTGGATAGAGCACTGGCTCTGGAGTCAGGAGGACCCGAGTTCAAATTCCTCCTCAGACACTTGATCACTTGATACTTACTAGCTGTGTGACTCTGGGTAAGTCACTTAACACCAACTGCCTTGCCCCCCAAAAAAAGCACCATGTAAACATTAAATGGTGTTCTTAATAGAATTGCTGTCATTGTCATTTTAGATTTTGACTCTCAACCTGGAGAGAGAATAGTAATGTAGAATATTCCTTTGGAATTGTTCCCATTTCCAATAATGCCTAGAAGTGAATTGTATATGTGCTTTGAATAAGAATGAGTTTCTAGGAATATTATTAATATTTTTCTTTACTCAAAACTTTATTTTCTGAAATTGAATATTGATTAATTTTTGTGTCCTTTAAATGAATTTATCACCCGAATTATCATTCATGTATCTCTGAGGACACAGACATTGTTCCCATTTGACAAGATAGGATCCTAAGACAGAAATTTAAAATTAAGTTTTAGGATAATTTTATTACTTAATTTGAAAATCACTTTTCTTCTCCTTAATTATGCCATTTGGTATCTTGTATCAGATATAACTGTAGTTGTTCTGTGTAGCCCAGTTTTTATTGTTTCCTATGCTTGAACATCTTTCAACTCTTTAAGAGATATGTTTTAGTATTTTGAATATTCATTGCTTTCTACTTTATTTCCCTTTGCTGTTTCTTCACAGATATATGTCAGGATACCAATCAGGTTCTTTTCAAGTGGTGTCAGGGCTCTGAGGAGGTACCCTGCAACAAACCAGTTCCTGTCAGCCTCTCAGAGGATCCCAGTTGCCCACTACATTTCCAGCTGCCACCTCAAATGTATAAGCCTGAGCAGATACTCTCTGTGCCAGATGAACTGGAAGCTGTCCCCATGGATATGTACTTGAGTGCTGCTGAACTTCAGCCCACAGAGAGTTTACCTCTGGAGTTCAGTGATGTAAGTTGGAGAAACTGTTTGCTTTGTTTGGCCATTTTTCTATAAAGCCTTGCTATTGTAGAGAAGATTTTATCCTGGCCATTAACATATGGATTCAAATTCCTATGACTGGTTATTTGAATTATTACTCATAAATACCAAGGAAATAACGGGAAGATACTAAGGGAATCTTTGGGGGCTATAGGATATGAACATTTTCTCCACTTGCCTTTAAGCCATCCAAATTAGGCTTAGACTAGGAATCTGGACAAGATTTTTTTAAAGAAGTTTTTTTTTTTTTTAAAAAATAACATGATATTTGTAACCTGGAATCTACTCAGGCAACTGATCATGCCAAGGTCTGACTGTTGGAAGGACTTAGAAAACGTTGCCAATTACTTTAATGTATTGTTTGTATGCCTTTTTGGTTGGGAAGGAGGCACATTTTTAGGTTTGAGGGAATTTGGAAAAACAAGTCAATGATTTTTAAAAGATTAATGTAAAGAACAGTGGAAGTAGAAAGGTGAAAAAGGTCACTGGAATTTTACCAACACAAACTTTGCTTATAATGATAATAAAGATTATAGTAGCTGAATTCACATAGCATTTTAAGGCTTACAAAATGTTTTATATTAGGGGCAGCTAGGTGGCACAGTGGATAGAGCTTTGGCCTTGGAGTCAGGAGGACCTAAGGTCAAATGCGGCCTCAGACACATAACACTTACTAGCTGTGTGACCCTGGGCAAGTCGCTTAACCCTGATGGCCTCACCAAAAAGCCAAAAAAAAAAATGTTTTATGTAAACTAATTCTTTTAATGGTCAACTTTTGACAGTATACACGTATACATTCAAAGTAATGGGTTTTATTGTGTAGATTGATCACCTAGAAGTTGTTTCACTAAGATAGGACACAGTTCAGTTTCAGTTTGTTCTTTATCTTAAATTTTATAGAGCTCTGGTTCTGAACATGTGATATCTTTGTTATGAACTTGATCTGTATATGTTTGCTCATAAAACTTTCGAACTGACTCACATCCTTACTGTTGTCATTTACAGCTGCTTTTAGGATTACCTGTCCCAAGTAAGCAATCTTCCTACTATATAGTTGAGTCTAAGGATGAGTATTCCTGTTTAAACTATCTTCCTCTGCTTTTTTTTTTTTTGCGCTTTTTGGTGAGGCAGTTGGAGTTAAGTGACTGGTCCAGGTTCACACAGCTAGTGTCAAGTGTCTGAGGCCGGATTTGAACTCAGGTCCTCCTGACTCCAAGGCCGGAGCTCTATCCATACCGCCACCTAGCTACCCCTTAAACTATCTTCTTAACCCATCTCCTGTCCATCAGTAAGTTTAGTCCTAGGTTGATCAACCTAAATAAGCTTTCATGCACTTCCCTAATCATATTTTCCTTTATGTATATTGGTTATTTAGTTTTTTTAAAAGTTCATAATAAAGGGTTTTTGTTTATAACACAGGTTTCTGCTGTTCCCTGTGATGAAAGGCTTTTGTACATACTGGTGGTACATATTTGTACATATTGACTGTGGGGGTTGAGGTGGGGGTGGGAATTGTTTGTGTAGGTCAGTAGTTGTGCGGTGATTGGGAATGCTTAATTAAATAGAAACCTGGAGGGTGTGCTTGTCTACCAGACTATTTGATTGCCTTTTGAAATTCTCCTGAAGCTTCCTTAAACCTCATCTAATTGTTTTTACGGCTTTTATTCGAGCAATTTAAGTGGATGGTGATATATGATGAAATGAACTGTTCATTTAGTTTTACTTTTGGTTTCAGGATGGTCAAGAATGATTACTTTTGCTCTGGCATGTGGTCATACAATTTATATTTGGGATCTCAGTGGTTTTATTTGATTCTGAAAAATGATTCATGCAAACCAGTTTCATAAGGAAGCTGATTTGTAAACCAGAATGACAATATACTAGTCTGCCAGGAAATCAGTATTTGTTGAATCTATGTTTACTTTTCTGCTTATCCAGTTGAGAGTTCCCTCACCTTTTGGATAGGAAAATTCATTTAGTAGTTTTTCCAGTTTTTTTATCTTGTATAATGAACTATTACTCTGTCTTTCCAGGAGACAAATTTAAATTCAATCTGGTTTGGAAAAATTATTTTCTTTTAAAAAAAAGGTTATTGATATCTTTTGTTTTTGTATTACCTAAATTCCTCTGCATCTTCTCTTTCCTCTCCCATCCCAGAGAGCTATCCCATATAACAAAGAATATTTTTTAAGGAAAAAAAAAACAAAACAAAAAGAGGAAGAAGAGAAAAAGCAGTTAGCAGAACTGATCACATTGAAAATAGCCGAAGATATATGCAATGTTCCACACCCATGGACCTCAGTTAAATAGTTATTAAGGTCCTACTATGTGCCAGGCACTGCTAAGTGCTGGGGATAAAAAGGCAAAAGACAGTTCCTGCTTTCAAGGATCTCACAGTCCAGTGGGCAAACAAATACGTACAAAAATAAGGTATATGCAGGATAATTTGGAGATGATAACAGAGAAGGCACTAGAATTAAGGAGGATTATAAAAGACTTCTATGGCAGGTTAGATTTTAGCAGGGATCAAAGGAATGCAGGGAAGCCAAGAGGTGGAGGTGAGGCGGGAAAACCATTCTAGGATGGCAGACTTCCAGTGAAAATGCTTGGAGAAAAAACAGAAGAGTTGGGGAGAGCAGTGTCTTTTCTTATCTCTTTTTTGGGGCCACGTCTATGCTTTGTAATTTTTCAGCACTCACTTTCAATTCAGTTCTTTCCATTACAGTGTTCTAGTTATTATGTATATTGTTTTCTTGGCTCTGCTTACTTCACTCTACATTATTTAAGTCTTTCCATGCTTCTCTGTAGTTATCGTATTTGTCATTTCTTACAGCAAATTCTGTTACATTCATGTACCACAATTTGTTCAGTCATTTCCAGTTGATGAGCATTTACATTATTTTTAGTTCTTTGCTACCAGAAAAAGTGATGCTACAAATATTTTGGTGTATATGAGGACTTTATCAGTGATCATCATCTCCTCATTGGTGTATATTCCTAGTAATGGAATCTCTGGGCCAAAGAATACTTAATTTGCATAATTCCGTATTGAATGATTATACTAAATCACAACTCTACCAAAAATACATATGTACCTTTCTTTCAGCAATCCGTAAACATTGATTATTCCCTTCTTTTGATTCCTTTTCTTCTTATCCCAGATACATTAGTTTTGTTTGTACAAGATCTTTTCAATTTCATGTAATCAAAAATTTATCTTTTCTCTCTTTATTTTATCTTGTAATTGCTTTCCTTTGTCTGGTTAAGAAAACACCTCCTACTTATAGCTGTAAAACTTTTAAAGATACATGATCTACTTTAATTTTTTTATGGTTTTTTAAAAAAAATTAATATATTTGTAGTTCTCAACATTCATTTCCATAAGATTTTGAGTTCTAAATTTTCTCCCCTTCCCTCTCTTTCCCCTTCCTCAAGATGATGTCCAATCTGATATAGGCTATACATACACATTCATATTAAACATTTTCATGGTATAATATTTAAAATTAAGGTCATATATCCAGTTTTGTAGATACTGTAAGAGGTTGGTCTAAGACCAGTTTCTGCCAAACTACTTTTCAGTTTTCCCAGAAATTCTTAATCAGATAGGGAATTCTTTCCTAATAGACACTGGGTTATTGAGTTTTATTATTTTCGAATCTCCCTTTAGTAGGTTCCATTGATCTACTTCTCTTTTTTTTTTTTTTAAACCCTAATTGCGCACCAGAGTGTTAGAGAGGAGAAGGGGACGTTTCAGAGATGTTGCAAAGGTGAGATTGACAGGACTTGGCAGTAGCTTGGATGTGAGGGTATGAGAGAGTGAAGGATGACACCTAGAATGTGAGGCTGAGTTTGAGGTCTGGAAGGTGCTATTCTTTCTTTATTTCTGCCTTTTAAAATTATTTTCCATGGTTGAAAAATTACAATTTTATTATAGCTAGCTTAGCCCTTTACCTGACCCCTCCCAGAGAAGCATCCTATAATAAAGAATGAAAAAGAGGAAAGGAAAAAAACAGTTCAGCGAAACTAACTAGCACATTGAAAAAGTCTGTAGTGTTGGATACGCTCAGGAGCTCCTGTTGTTCTTATATCTCATCTTTGGGCCCAGACTTGGTCACTGTAATTCTACAACATTGGATTTTTAAAGCTTTGATAGCTTAGAACTGCACTGAGACTTTTGGAACGCTTTGTATGTTTGCAATCAGAATGTTTTGTTCAGATTGAACATGTATAAATTATCCTATTCCTGTTGATCCAGATTAAAATACAGATTAAGAATTGGACAATATCGGAAACACCTATATAATTGCTTCCTAATCATACTTTTTTCTAGGTTCAATATTACTGTCAATCAGGTTTACCACAATTTTCACTTTCATTATTCTACTTCGTTTCTGGCTATTGTTCTTGTTCAGTCATTTCTCAGGCACATAGTCTGGCATCTAGTACATAGTAGTTGCATAATAAATTCTTGATGATTGCTTAACTGGAACTAAATAGAACAAGTCTGTTCTAGACTGTCTAGAGACAGCTGTCTTGTTTCCCCTGAATTTCTCTTTATCAAGCTAACCTTCAGCTGATACTCATGGCCTGATCTCAAAGGCCTTTCACCATCCTGGTTTCCCTGTTCTAGATGCTCTGAAGCTTATTTGATGTTCTTTCTCAAAAATGCTCCTCTGAACTGCACATAAGCAGCCAGATGTGGTCTGACCTTATTCTGGCCATTACGTAGTTCAGTGTAATTTAAATCTCATAAATATTTTTTGGCTGCTGTACCACATTGAGCTAACAGTCCATTAAGACTCATAGATATTTTTCAGATGGACTACTGTTAAACCATACCTTCATTATCTTGTATATGTGAAGTTGACTCTTGGAACCTGAGAATAGCATTTTTCTAATTATCTCTCTTTAAGTTTCATGTTATAAAATTTGGCCTAGTGTTCTAGCCTCTCAAGAATGATTTGAAT